AGAACATCAAATTTTTGGGCATCTCTTTTACCATGGCTATGTGCTAGGTGTCCAAGTATCTGATCGTAGTCTTGTGCATCTACTCTAGCGTTTTGAGTACATGCTAAAAATGAAGCATTAATTACTGAGCTTTTGCCACGCAACCAACCGTTTCAGATCCTGATGGTGTGAAACGGTGCCAGGTGATGAACGAAGATTGAACATTTCATTGTGTCTAAAAAGTAGTATTTAGCCAAAAATAATTTTTTTTAAATATAACACAATAGTTTCGCTGATAGACCCGTTCCGTTTTATTTTACGATCAGCTTCAGCGGCAAAATGCCTTAAGCGGAGCCTTTTTAGGCGCTTTTGGATTTCGCGGCGATGGAGTAACGCATTCGATATAGCTTGAAATTACCAACGTTTTGCGTTGTTAAAACTTATTGAACAAGACCGGCTCTCGCGAAACAAGGTGCAAAGGTTCAATTTGGCCAAGCGCGCTAAAAGGAACAAGATCGTCCATTTCAAGCATTTTCCAAAAAATTTTACAGATGGTCTATTCAGATTTTCCCCTTTACGAGTTAGATATAGAATGTTCATAAAATTACAACAAATCAATGAATATTATTGGTCAATCTCAACGTCTATTTCACTTAAAAAAATCTAAAACAGCCAAATAAACGATGACAACGAAAAAACAAAACCACCGGCATTTTTCACGCTTTCAAAATTCCACAGCCTTTTAAAACCATTGAAAAGGCAAATGTCCATGAAATTTAAATTTAAACTGAAACCGTTTTGAATTTGCTTACTGTTGCGTGAAACGGAATTCTTCTGTGGACGTCTCCTTGATCATCACAATGCTCTGAGCGTTGTAGTAGGTTATGAAGAATAGCAGCATACATGTTGAGGCCAGAGTTTTATATAATTTCATCATTTTCTTCTTCTTCTTCTTGTACCTTCCTTTCGTATCGCTGAGTACATGCTAGAAATATTTGCCAATTAATGAGTATTTTGAGAGCAACTAACCTGTTTACATCTTGGTAGTAGACCGGCTTATTTTTTTCATAGCAATATTTCAAGTTCTCGCCGTGACCTAAAAGTTCATAAGTAGCCCAAACATGCTGAATTTCTGATTTTTTTGTATTAGAATTATTAAGTGATTTATTGCCTCAAAAATATGACTTCATATGTAATTGATTCGTATCTTTCGTGGCTTTGTCTGAACAATTTTAACAACAGCAGTTGCCGATAAGAGGTGGCTTATGGTGCTGAAAACCTACCGTGTATCCTAATTCGTCCCAGAATTTGCAGTTAACATTTTTCAGCCCAACCAGCAATTCTTCATCCTAATCGGAATGAAGCGATAGCTGTCGATGAAGCGCAACTGAAAATGGAGGTGCCAATTGTACTACCGCTCAGATAGAATTTATGGTTTTTCGACCGTCTCAAGCTTTCAAAAACGGCTATCAATCAAATGTTTGCTATTCTCTATCAAAATCGGATAAAGAATCGTATTTGGAATGAGCGAGATTGTCTTAATTCGATCATGAGCTCTTGCTCAAAAACTAAATCTTTTTAATTCCATTTTAATTTTATTTTTTGTGCGAGCAAAGCTGGTTAAAATTAGTCCTTTTTGAAAATTGTATTTTTGACTATGTGAATTAAAGATTTCATTTTGGCCAGGCCATTTTCAAGAAATCAGAGAAAGTTAAGGAAAAAGTTTGGTTACGTAGCGTTCAGAATTTTTCGTTCAACTTCCTAACCTCGCCATCGTAAATTAGAATCAGTACCATTATAATCAGCCACAATAAAAACAAAGATATACCTTGTTTCGTTTGCGTCAACATGGTTTTCGATATAAACTTCTCTTGCGCCCTTGGGTGATTAATACAACGCCGGCCACTTCTTGTGTCGCAAGTTTTGAGCAACTTCTACCCTCCATTTGCAATCATATCTACCTGCAAAGAAAAATAGAGATTACCACAAATAAATTACCTCCGTTGTGGGTCGTTACAATTTAATTCTTTTTTAACAGTTCTCGAAGCGAATGACGTCTTCCGATAATAACGTTTTTTGTCTCCACGTGGCAGTTGATGCCTTACATTCTTAGGCTATACAGACATCGTTGCATTTTCCTCTTAGATATCTGAAAAATGGTATACTTTATGGAGTGCTGTATTAAACGAACAAATCCTATCGCTACTTCTTACTTGAATTGAGAAGGACGTAAATCGGATAATTTAAACTCACTTGTTAAATTTAAAAAACAACAGGAAAATCCTTGATGTTGCAAAGACGTCACATTATGTAGACGCCGTGGTTTGGAATAATCCTCCAAGATGAGAGTTTGTGGATCCTGAAATTTCAGAAATTGGGTGGTCTGAAAAGGATTTTTAGAATGGAAGGAAAGAGAGAGCGAGAGAGAGAGAGAGAGAGAGAGCTGGAGCGAGAGAGAGAGACAGAGAGTAGGAGGGAGGGGGATTGGACTAACGAATAATCGGCGTATTAATTTACGCCAAATTTAAGAGCTGTCCCTTAAATTTACCGCATGTTTATTTTAGTAAAATAAACATGCATTAAACCATCTCGACAAAGCTCAAAAATTACCGAAATTAAACCGATTATGATACGCGAGAAACCAAGGAAAATACAGAGTCGTGGAAAGCAAAGGGAAATTCCAGGAGAGGTGAAATAAGTGAACAAGAGAATTTAAAGCAAATATTCCGAGAACCAACGGCGGACTGAATGAATGAATGGGATGGAAAGCCAGACAGCAGAAGTGGTCGCTTGCTACGAAAATGAGGTTAGGGGCCGCGCATTAATATATTGGCGCCAAAACCGACATCTGGGATGGCAAAACGGGCGCCGCCCTTCAAACCCACTGGGGCACCGATCAAATCGTTTCGCGGGGTTTTAGGCATGAGGTAAATTACAAAGTGAGAGAACAGATGATATAGCCAATTTATCCCATTTACTGATTTAAAAACATTTTCATATGGACGAATTTTTGGAGAGTATCCTCCACGGGATGCGATTTCTTCTCCCAATTTGCGGCTAATCAAATCGAAACTGGTGCTATAAAACCTCAAGAAGCGTCTAACAAGGGAAGTGCACGACCGGCCCACGAGAAATCGACACGAGACATAGTGGATCTGATAGAATCGGATACGGGGATTCCGAATCTGTAATCAGAATTTGCTAAATAAAACGGAGAAAAAAGTTATGAAGCTTCAAAGTTGGCCAAATCGCCAAAAACCGTACCTTTAAGGGCCCGTAAAAACCGGGGGAACGGAATTGAGGAGAAAAGAATTAGTGCAGTTTGTAGAGCAGAACAAGCGCTTTCGAATGAGCTATCGTACTTCAAGTTTACGATGATTTCGCGAAAATCTCTTCTATGAACTTGACAGGCCATACCCTTGCCCGTGAATCCACAAAAACTTTTCAGTGAATTGTTTGCAAATGCTACATATTACAGCTCATTCGAAAGCGCTTTTTCTGCTGAACAAGCTGCACTAATTCTTTTCTCCTCAATTCCGTTTCCCCGGTTTTTACGGGCCCTTAAAGGTACCGTTTTTGGCGATTTGGCCAACTTTGATGCTTCATAACCTTTTTCTCCGTTTTATTTAGCAAATTCTGATTACAGATTCGAATCCCCCGTGTCCGATTCTATCAGATCCACTATGTCTCGTGTCGATTTCTCGTGGGCCGGTCGTGCACTTCCCTTGTAAGCTAGTACAGAACGGCAAGCTTTTGAAGCATATTGCTGGCCAAGACGGCGAAAGTTCGTGGCTCGTGAATCTAATCCCTTTCACGTGACTACCCCTACCTCAATCAAAATGTCGAGGACATCAGGATTATCGAAACACTCGCGGGTACTGCGTTTTGTGCATGTGCTTCAATTTAATAGACGGCGCGAACGTCCCAGGAAGATTACCGTTCCGGAACAAGAGCCAAAATGAAAGACTGGTACGGTAACGGGGGCGGGGGATAACGGGGTGGGGGGCACCCAGTATTATAAAATTCGCAATTAATGTGGCATTTTACGAGTGCCATTCCCTAGAACATGGAAAAATATACTAAGCCAATTATTTTCAGAGAGAAATAATGTAATGGAAATTTTTTATTCAATAACCAGGTATTGAGCAAAATTTATGGGCAGCACATAGGATAACGGGGGGCGGGCGTCAAAGTTTCAAAATTTCTAAAATTTTCGATATTTTGAAAACGTCATTTGATACAGCGTAAAAAATTGTCTCAGGAAAATTGATTTAAGCCCGAAATACTGCCATTGCAATTTTTTCGAATAAACAAAAATCGATCAAAATCCATGGCCAGCACATGGAATAACGTGGGGGTGTCAAATTTTTGAGATTTTCGATATTCGAAAAACACCAATCGATAAAACGTTTGAACATCTACTAAATGATTTTTTTACAACGCGTAAAGCTTGATGATGGAGTTCGATTATCGTTACGGTCATCGAAATGTCCGGATCCAGATGCCAATTGGTGTTTGCTAATCAAGTGAGTAGAGTTTGCCATTATTTTGAATTTTAATTTTCTAAAGTTACTTGATATTCAGAAAAAAGTAAATAAAGTTGTTTGTAATATAATTTCTCTAGATCAGGCGAAAATCTCTCGTTGGGGTGTGCTTCACGCGACCAGATCACTCGTATGGCCTGTAGTGGATTGCTGCAGCTAACTGATGGAGCCATGCTGAGATGGTCAGACTCCGATGTGGGAAACGATCGTATTCTGGATGCTAATGATTCTGATGCTCATTCTCGGTTTTTTGGCTGGTTATCTCGGTGGCCGTACTGGCCGTCGTATGTTGTTGGAATGAGCTGAATTGGAAGGTGTGTTGAATAAAGTTGTTAAAGCGAACTTGGATTTATGCTTATGGAATACAGTGAATTAATATCTGAGTGAAACGAGGTAAAGCGGGAATGAGTTTGAAGGTGTGCTTTGAAATTAGAGTGAGCGAAAGTAAGCGTTATACGTAAATGAGAGTGGAAATTAGTCGTCAATTGGGGTGGCGTGTTCCTCTACAGTCTCGATTGGGATATCTTGTTCATCAAAGAGATTGGCTGAAGTGGTTGGATTTGGGAAGCTGAAACCGTTGCCGGTTTGGCGCGGGTATAGTAATAGGATGGGGTGTGGTTCTTTGAGTCCGGGAAGGATTGGGGAGAGACGGTGTCAAGTAAAACAGTGTAGGACGGTGAGGCGACATGCTTTTAGGCGGCATAGTTTTTTGAAATCGAGGTGTTTGCATTGTAGAAAGGGGTGATTTGGGTTTAGGCTAAGGCATATGGGGCAACTACGGTATGATAGAGCACGTGTTACGTTCGTCCAATTTGTTTGTTCGTGCGAGCTGGAGTTTAGCGTCCCGTTGTTTTGGAGATTCCTCTACCGCTTGTTTCTAATTGAGACTATACTATTTGCAAAACGTTAACTACCCGGAAGACGCGTTGATCACTCAAGATCTCGTCGATGAGTTTTTTCTTTCGCTCTTCAGCCTCAGAGATGAGGAGAGAGGGAGCTTGGCGTTTCGACATTAGCTGGAAAGACAGGGGTAATTATCTTAACCTCAAACCACTCGTGGTCTCTCCCTTCACTGACGCGGAGGGACGCACGACAGTACCCTGCCCCGTATCGAGATGGTGAACCTGGATTGATAAGCCTTTTCTATTTACTGTACTATAATAAAACTTGTTGTCTATTTCTGAGTTCAATACACTCCATACACAGTTTCACTTGATTAAAAAATTATTTATCCGGGTATTAAAATGACGGGGTGAGAAACCTAGACCTATTTTTAAAAATCAAAAAAATTCAGGAACCCTAGACCTGGAATATACATAAAAATATTATTTATCATTAAACCAACCGGCCTCTTCCTAGGTTTGTATAACGAAATGGCTAGGAAATTGGTTGACCGCCCTACAGACAATGACATTGTGACACCCGTGATGGGCGTAAAACAGGCTTCTTGGCTCGATGAGTAGCTTGAAAAGGTTCCCGATTTGGTTGCTTTTATCGACGACCGTTCCATTCGGATGATTGTCCTTTTGCCATTTTTCCCACCTTTTGAGTTGGATTTCAGCAAAGCATTGTGCTCGGATGGAAGTTCATCCATGACCATGTCGAAAAGCTCCTCATGATTAATTTCTGATGGTTTTTTTACTCTTAACCGTAGTACGGGTGGTTGGCAGTTAAACCATCTTGTTTCGTCGCCGACATGCTTTATGTCGACTATCTTCGAATGCTTCTCAAGATATTTCTTCAAGATCCTTGTTGGTTTCACGTCTTCCAAGAAAATGTTCCAGTACCCATCTGCCGGCTCAGATGCGTGTAGTCTTTTCATTATCGATTTGACGCTGCTCCCTCTCATGATATTGACGTTGAGTGCTGTTACCCCGTCGAATTATGGGCGAGTTGTCACTTCTAATCTTCCAAAATTCAAATCCGGCAAACAACCGCTCGGCGGTTTCCAAATTTGTTAATCCTAAGATAAGTTGCTTTTCTTCCATAAGCATGTAGCTGTTATTACAAATGAGGAGGTGGGCATCTTCCGCGTGCGTACCTTTGTGGATTTTTGGGGCCTTGGTCCATAGTTCTTTGTTGGCTAGCGACATATTGAATCGCGTCTTGACGTCCGAAAAAGGAATTTGCTTCATGATCTCGCACAACACATCCATCGGTAGAAGCGACATCTGTAAAAATAATATTTTCAATTATAAAAAAAATTATATTCAAAATAAAAAGTGCTAATGCTTGGGATCAGCTAGACTAGTGAGGTCGGAAGGGAGGGTATGCTGAA